AGAGATCGTCAGGAAGGACCTTCATAAAGAGCCAAAGAGCGTTGTTGTTTCGGCCCTTTCTGGTCATCAACGTTTTTATTGAAAGCAACGACCTGACCAGCAGCCGATTCAACTTACTGACGTTAGACAAATGCACCCCCCTGAACGTCGGCGGAATGCAATAAGTGTGTTGTAGCAGCGAGCTCAACTTTGCAAGCAGCGACCAGTGTTTCCTTTAAAATTATTAAAATGGAAATGGAGCAATCCAGGACTGATGATCAGCATGGGGGAGGGGGTACCTTTTTCATAGCCCAACCGCTGGATGGAGGGAAAGGGAAGCAGGTTCGGGAATAAAACGCTGTATTCTCAGCTTGCGAATACATGGACGTTCTTTATCCAAAACTGGTCTTATTAATTTGAAGCCCATATCGTTGTAGAAAACGCCAGCTTGGATTAGTCATTTTTTTGCGCGAATACCCCTGTAATGACCAAATTCTGAGTTCGACGCTCAACTACTTGCCTCCCGCGGCGCAAGAACGTGCGCATCTTAGGTCGACCCCAACCTAGTCTGGCCAATCACCTCCGAGGCCGACTCCAACAGTGGCTCTTCTCTAGACACTTCGGACACCGGCCAACTCGCGGGTTGTTGTGCAGGCTTCTAACAGCCGACTTCCTCAAACCCATTCTCTGTTACCTCTGTACAGAATACACTTTTCTCTTACTTCTTCTCTTCTCACACGGAACCAGGACCTCTAGACCACAAAGGCAAGGGTTTTTCCTATTAACTTAGCTCATTGCGATATCCTAGCGCAAAAACCTTGAATGTTCGGCCAGCTATTGATTGCACCACAAGCGCGCGCAAAAGCACCACACGCTAATTGACTGCCTAGTTTGACGCGGGGTATTTGGTGGCCGGCCTGGCCTGCTGTAACATACGTGATCAACTCCTCTTTTCGTCTTAGACTATGACCCCACACTGTTTCAGTTCTCCATAACAACTTTTCGTCTGCGATTTTGACGCAAAAATGTTGCCCTACTTTTTTCTTTCAAGTGACATTTCATGAATTCGGGTGAAAGCATAAAGCCTACACTCACAGTTTCCGCAGCCTACTGATATCACCCCGTTTCAGCTACGCTTAACACGGTAGCATTTGGAATGACAATGTCAAAAACAGCAGGGGAAAAACACATCTAAGAATAATGCGGAAAGCTGGATTTTAGTGGCCTACCGCTTCCTTGTAGTCCTCATCAAAGAGCGTAGCCTCCACCATTGTGACCACGGGCTCCGACGAGCCTTCGTCGTCTTCGTTGAAGGTAAACTGAGAGGCGGAATCGAAAGTAAATTCATTCGGAGTGACGGCTGACAGGTTATCGGAGCCATAATAGCTGGAAACACTGGCCGATCGGTTGGGCGGCCTGTGGGTTTCGGCGCTATCCAGGACATGAATGGTCAGTGTGGGTGAGGTCAGCCTCATCGTCAGCAGCTGGACGGCGTAAAGGGGATTGGAGGGCGAGTCGGGCTGATCAACGAGTCCTGTGCCGGGGCAGACGATTTCAGGTACAGAGACTCGGAGGTTAATGAGTACCCTAGAGGACCAACAGAGCGGG